CCCTGCAGGGAGTTGGAGGCTGCTATTCAGTCCCCTCCATCTTTTCTTCTCTAGACTAAATAAGCCTGTTGTATCTCAGTTTATTTCTGCAGTATTGCATGTCTGGACAACTTTTTTAAACCAATAAACCAGGCTGGGAGCTGATAATGTAAATGAGACCTAATATGAACAAAGGAAATGTTTAAAGGGAATGAAAATAATCCGATCCTTTGCATTCGGTGCATTCCAATTATTATTGTTTTTATTACTCTCTATAAATTATTTCTTGGGATGATTTGTAATTTGGAAAAACTAATTTAGATTGATAGTAAGATGCCTTCAAAAGGAAACATTTCCTTTTGAAATGTTGCTGATCTCTAGGGGGGCTGGGCCCTGTGAGGGAGAGGGGGATTACAGTTCCTGTTCACTCTGGGTTTCCCTGGTTCAGTTTGTTGCTGTTCCAGTTTTTCTGCAGTTTACCATGCAGTATTGATTATCAGGCAGATGGTCCTTAGTATTAGAGAAGGAAAACCATTAAACTCCTTGCACCGTTAAACCTTGTGCACCCCAGTATACATTAAAATGCATAAACATGATGCTTCTTGTAGTATTTTATTGCAATGCTAAGGAGAGTCAGGAGGAAAATAGGTACCAGACACAAGGATATGGAGATGATTGAGCAGTGTCACTGTGGGGCAATGGGACTAAAATCCATAGGAGGAAACATGGGTCTAAGAAATGTCTAGTTCTTAGTGGAGCAGAGAAACTTCCTCATGGCATTGGTGCTACCAGTCACCCATCGAAAGCTGAACGCTCCTGTGGTCTGTGGCTTTACTTCCAAGCTGTGCAGTGGTATGAGGGGAAAATACGTTGCAAGGGGACAGCAACATCTGACAAGACAGTCGGGAGAGAAATGTAGAGGGCCACTTCCTGCTGAGAACAGGAGGTCAATTGACTGCGGAGCCTGAGAGAAGGCAGGGCAAGGAGGAGGCACCACAGAGGAATCAGTTTGTGGCTCTCAATGTTGTGCTGTGTAGGTGGGCTGCAATGAGTGTGCACGTTCCCACTGAAAGCCTACGGAAAGGCATTGGCAAGCCCCGTGGAGGTATTTTCTACCCTTGCAGATTTCAGCCTGGAAGAAAAGAGGCGAAGATCAAGTGCATTTAAAAAGGATATATATTTCTAAACCTTGGAAAGAGATTTAGGTGAAGTTTTTAAGGAATGAGCAAAGGTCCCAGCTGGTTCACTTGCTTCAAATCCACATGTGCAATTCCTGGAAGAAAAGCAATAGTTTGTATTGCGATTTGGCTAGAAAATGATATTTGGAGATTTGCTTTCAGGAATTGGCTTGTAGGTAGAGTAGATATTGCATTAGAATAACTGTCTAGGGCAATGGTAAGGGCTAATTGGTTTCTAAAAGCCTGTTTAAGGCAGTTTTACAGCCTTCAAGGCAGACGCTGTGTCCGAGGCCAACAGACAAACAGGCTGGGAAATCTGCGGTGTTTCCTGAAAACTCGTAATAAAGATAGGCTTGCCACGTTGGAGCCAGGTCACAGTGCCCAGCTGCAGAGCCCACGGGATTTCCAGTTTTGGTGGACAGCCCAAATTAGGCAGCTGGGGTTGCCCAGATTAAGACATTGGAAAATGACCAAATTAAGATGTGCACATGCGATGGGTTTGTGGAAACACAGGAATATGCTGCCAGGGCAGAACGTGGACAGTATGATGACCACAGGGAGACCAGTCCAATCAACCATGCTTGGAAATGAAGAGTCGTCAGGAGGAGAAAACAATAGAGGAGGAGGGATTTCGGAGCAGCCTGTGGTCCCAAGACCACAATGGACAGGGGGCATGCCACCAGCCCATCTTGCCCACCCCACTGGGACAGGCCCTGCTTTGAGCAGGGGGTTGGACTAGATGTGACTTCCCGACATCCCTTCAAACCCTCATTTTCTATGATGATGTCTGCCTTGCCTGCATTACTCTTACCTGCTGTCACTGTGTACCAATAAAAATAGCCTATTTTCAGATGGAAGAGGATTTGGTCTGAGGATTTGGGTCTGCCCAGGACAAAGTATATAGTGTCAACAACAATCAAATACATCTGAGACTTTGTACATCCCTAGGTGCCTTAAACTCCAAAAGAGTAGGTTTTCCTCTTAACAGGGGTGGGGGTGGGGGGTGTTTTACTGTCAGTTTAGAGGAGCCTGCTCGCCAATGTAGTAGTTCCACTTCAGTCCACACGAGTCTTCAGGGGAAAGTTGTATTTGTGTAAAATGAATTTGCAGTGATCAAGATCACAGTACCAATTCCATCGTTAGGCTTCAGATGCTACCTTCAAATTGCGAGTTGCTGTTTGGGGTTTTGTTCTTGTGAACCAGACTGTTCTATTTACGTTGCTTGTGTACTCGAGTGCTGTTCTCCGTAGAGTAGCGGAGTCTTTATTCTCAAGTCTATTTTAGAGTTGATTAAATTTAGTTATTTTCCTCCACTGAGACTTTCTCACTCTAGCTTCTAGGAAGCTGAATATTTGGTACAATGAGCAGATGCAGTTTGCACCTAATCAGTGAATAAAATTTAGTACACTTTGCAGCTCTGTTGTAATGATGAAAATTGAACATAGCCCTTTATATAATAATTGGCATTATTTCCACACAAGAGATGAGTGAGCCAGAAAATAGGTTATCAATTTATATTTATGAGATTGCTTCAAACTGCTGTTTGAGAAGCATTTAGAAACACAGATGCATATAGTTGCTGCCTTGAAGACGCATTACCTAAGATGACAAACAATGTACAGGAGATAAAGGAGAAGAGAAGTACCAAAATACTTAAAGTCATTATTTATTTAATCTGCCACTAACCTTTAAAAAAAAATCCTCTTAAGTAAAATTATTACATAGTTTCATAGTTTCATAGATTTAGGGTCGGAAGG